ATTCCTGCTAATAGCGATCTGCGAGTTTGGTGCAAAAACGCATGATCGCACCGGAGAGCCTGGTGCATTCCAGCCTAGGTTTCGGATGTCCTTACTCCATTGCGGTATAAAGTGCTGGATGCAGCGGGTGGGGTGGCACTGGAGGAGGATTTGTGTGCGGGTCAAGGGTGAGGGGGTTGGGTATAGATGAGGTGAAGTTGGTAGGGTAGATTGAGTGGTTATGTGGAGTGGCCACGTAAAGGTGAGCGGGAGGGGGTGATGGGCGGAAAGGAGGAGGAACCGTGCTACTGGTTTCTGCCGCAGATACGCGGGGTGCGAGGAGGACTCGGGAGCGGATAGACTCCAGACGGCATACGAAGGGGAAGGGGGTTGACATTGTACGGGCACATTTTTTGGGTGTGAGGTTTGAAGGAAGAGGTTAGGGTGGGTGTGAGAATGATTTCGCGCGTGAGGATTCAATGCAGGGGGAGGAGATTGGGTGAGTGGATATGTGGCGTAGATCCCTTGGTCTTTGCCTAAACTGCATAAGAGATAGGAGAGGAGGTGATGGATGGAAAGGAAGGAAGCAAGAAAAAGTAAAAGCAAGAAAAGCAAACGAGAAGCCGGCATCAGTAGGGGACTTCCCAATCTATAAAGCTGATGCTCAGGTAAAGCTAAAAACGAATAAATTGAAGCTGCGTAGGTAAAAATGGGAGCCCTCAGCATTGCATAAGCATAAGATTCATAAATACGGAAGCTCCTGCTGGGGATAAGCTTTCAACAAACGAAAAACCCGCTCAGCAAAGGACTTCTTCATTTATGAAGTTGTTGTTTAGGTAAAGATGAAAGCGAATAAGGTAAAGCTCATAGGTAAAACTGAAATCCCTCAACTTTACCTAAGCAACAGCTTCACAAATAAGCTTGTTCCCCTCCTCTATCCTATCCCCAAACTCTGCCTGCGGAGCGGCATCTGGACACCCATCACACACCATCCCCCAACCACTATCATCACTAATCGTTCCTTGCTCCTCACTAGCATCCCTTCTCTCTTCCATCCTGCCTTAATCCGTGCTCCCGGAGCTGTATATGGGTACTCGAGTAGCGTTACCCAGTATTTCTGGCAAACTGCCAAGGGAGGTCGGCGAGCACTGCAAAATAGTGTTCGCAGGCAGGTTAGAGTGCCGGCCGAGACGAATTTTAGTAATTGCCTGTGTGATTACAAAGGAAATCGTTAACAAATAATGAATGCTCAAATTTGCCGCACCTGTGCCCGAGAATTAGGCATTTGTGGAAGCTGTTTGTAGGCTTTTGGTGGTGTGTGAGCTGATTTTTTGCTCCCAGAATTTGTTTTCTAGTCTGGCTGGTTACAGAGAGGGAGGAGTGACGAAAGTATTGCAAAATCTGAACATGTGACTGCTCCTTACGCTGGGAACGTTTGAAAGCAGAAACTCATATGCGTTTTTGCCTATATGCAAATTGCAAAAACGCATATTGGGACGACCCTGTCTGTGTGTGTATATGCGTTTTTGCCTATATGCAAATTGCAAAAACGCATATTGGGACGACCCTGTCTGTGTGTGTATGTATGTATGCGTGTGTATGTTCGTGTGTGTGTGTGTGTGTTCGTCTGTCCGGGTATTTCAACTCGGCAACCAAGCAATTCCAGCGCCGAGATTTTGCTAATGGGTACCCCGGCCAAGTACCACCCCAGAACCGCGGTACCACCCAGGGCCGAGATTTTGCTAATGAGTACCCCGGCCAAGTACCACTCCAGAACCGCGGTACCATCCCTAACGCACGTCTGGGCCCCGCGTACGAGACGGCCAAGTACCACCCCAGAACCGCGGTACCATCCCTCACGCACGTCTGGGCCCCGCGTACGAGGGAGGAGTCCGGGTGTTTCAACTCGGCAACCAAGCAAGTTTCAGCGCCAAGATTTTGCTATTGGGTACCCCGGTAAAGTCGCGGGAAAATTCATAACTCGAGAGCGGGAAAAGATAGAAGGCTGAAACTTTGGGAATATGTGCCCACCAGAACCGCGGTACCATCCCCCACGCACGTCTGGGCCCCGCGTACGAGAGGGGAAAATTTTTGGCGACCAGAACCGCGGTACCATCCCTCTCGGCACGTCTGGACCCCGCGTATGAGAGGGGGAAAGTTTTGGCGGGATCTAACTCGAGAACGGGAAAAGATAGAAAGCTGAAACTTTGGGAGTATGTGCCCATACCATTCGCGACCCTTTAGAAAGCTGAAACTTTGGGAGTATGTGCCCATACCATGCGCGACCCTCCCATTTTAATATCATCCCCTGCGAACGCCTGGGCGCCGTGTCTGAAACTTTGGGAATATGTGCCCATACCATGCGCGGCCCTCCCATTTTAATATCATCCCCTGCGGCGAAGGCCCCGCGTACGAGAGGGGAAAAGTTCTGGCGGGAAAATTCATAACTCGAGAACGGGAAAAGATAAAAGGCTGAAACTCTGGGAGATATGTGCCCATACCATGCGCGACCCTCCCATTTTAATATCATCCCCCGCGGACGCCTGGGCGCCGTGTACGGGCGCCC